GAAGTTACGATTTCGAAATTGTTCTAATGAAAAAAATCGTCCGTAAGACAGCACCAGTGGCGTAGAAATTGCGAATTTGTTACAAGGGATCCACTGAGTACTCTTTTTTGCAAAATACCGACTACCGGGTACTTGGTGTGTGGTGTGTTTTTCAAATGTCCTTTATTCTCGTGATTGATTTATTTTTCAAAGAAGTTAACGCGCCGCAACAAAACCTCGTGCACAGAGATTAGGGTATTTATGGCATTTTCAGATATTTTTAAATATTTGAGAGTCTCGCAATAGCTAGGGTGAAACTGAAACGTTATTTTGACATTATATTTTTTATATATTTTCAAATACTTCCTATTACGAAAGATTATATTTTAACCTTTATTTTTGAATGTAGGTTTTTGAGTTGCTTTCAGGAGGTTACAAAAAAACCCTAATTTAAACTGCTGTATTTCGTGGCGGTTTAGGAAGGACGAAATCCTTATGTATGAATAAATATTTTCTTCTCAGAAATGTGGGATACTCGTCATTCACGTTGCTTTTTGACTTTTGCTGCATTATTTCATTTCATGTTGTGGTTTTTTTGAGAGGTCATATGAAAGATAAAATGAAAAGTGCGAAAGCAATGGTGCTAATCCCATGTATCTCCGCCACTGGTGCACGTTAATTTTAAGTAAAGACTTTTGAATGTGGACAATACTTAGGTAAATCCACATACCAAATTTTAGTTATTTCCTATGGACTGTTTTGAAATGTTACATAAAAGACCGCCCTTAAAATGCGGTGCTGTGTATGATGTTTCACTTTTGGTCACGACTTGTGAGTCACCCTGTATATTTTCGTTTGTTTCACATGGCGACACTTCAATACAATAAACAATAAATAAGGTTACATAAGACTTTTTGTCCCTTTGAATATATTCCGTATTTTCTTTCAAGTACTGTTTGATATTCAAATGAGGTAAGTAATTATTTTGCACTTGAATGAGGTAAGCTTAAAAGTAAAATATAAATAAAACGTCTTGAATATTTGGCACTTTCTAAAACTTGCTATTTTTGTAATCATGCGTAAATTTTCTTGGAGAATAAGGTTTGGGAAAAGCACATGAGGACTTAGCACATCGCATTTTCAGGTGTACACGCACTGACTTTTTTAAACATCTATTGTCTCTTTTGAGAAATTTTTTCCAGACTACTGCTTTTGGAGAAAAATGATTTCAATATTCTGAGGTGAAATCCGTATACAAAATTCCAACCCGCTTTACTTTGAAAATACGCTATAGTCAGTGAATGTGGATATTGAAAATTGTATGTAACATATTAGGGGAGTATTCTCATATTGAAGTTTTGTCCTTATTTAGTCTCATCAGTGGCGAAGAAATTTTGAAAAAACCCTGCACCTTAGCAACGGACATTTCATATGTTTATGCGAACTTCTTTGTTATTTTTAGATGTTCGTTTTGATCTACAAATATGTCCATTATTTTCTGAATCACCGTGTACAGAAAGATCTAGTAGCACAGACGACAGTGGAACATGTTACTTGCGAATTAGCTGACACTGAACTTTGATGATTTTAATCGCTGATAGGGGACTATAACTCTTTATTATTTTGAAATATTTTTAAATATACGATTCTAGAAAAGCAGTGTTGAAATATCAAAGCTCAACGTTGTAAATTAGTGTGTGTGTGTGTGTGTATTGGCTTTTAACAGAGTCATAACAGTGTATATAAGCAACAGATTGCTCAGCAAAAGGCACTGATTAGAAGCTCTTAGAATTATGATGAAAGTAGATGATTTTCCGTTAAGGCGGTGAAAACATGGCGTATAAGAGAAACTTGTTGTATACCGAACTGTCGTATAATCGTTGTTAACAAGATCATTACACTCATAATCTTTTAATAGCAAATCTAACAAAAATATACAGCTAAGACATTTTTTTAACCAAAAGACAAACATTTATACCGCCCAGTATGATACGAGTTCAATGTAGAATTATGAAATAGTGGTCTGGTCCTTCAGAATGTTTACAACTCTGTTAAAAGCCAAAATATATTGAAACCCGGTTACAACCTATTCAAAACGTAACTAACAATTTTATAAGAGGCAATCTTTTTTTGAACCTTCTTAAGTGAACCAAATTTTTTTACATCGATGGCGAGATTTTACTATTTTGGCCAAAGTAACGTCTGATAGATATGACTTCTGTGAGCAATAAGTTCTAGCAGCAAAAAGTGTGAAAGGCTAGGTACTCTTCGGCTGACGCATCGGACTTGCCGAGTCTGTCCATCGCTGAAAACAAGTCTGATTTTTGGGAAAGAAAGCGACACCGTTTAGAAAGGTTTGTTGGTTAGTATTCTTACTTCTCTTGGATCTGCATGCTTTAAATATACAGTAATGGACAAAAGTATATAGACAAATATGAATATTTGCCTAAATACCTTTAGACAACGAATTCATTGCTCCATAAACAAATGCGTTATTAGTAGAAAAACTAAATTCCTTTTTTTTACCTTATCTGCAATGAACACATTACAAGTCTGAATATAAGCACTTTTTTATGAGGGACAAAAATATGTAGACAAATTCTTTTCAACATTAGTTTACACTTTCGTGTCAGAAGAGGATTAGTTTGTGTTCATCAAGTATTGTGGAATAAGTTGAGTGATTTTAAGATCATGCTGCGTGGTCCAGAAGTTTCTTTCGATGTGCAAACTAAGATCATTGAGTTATACAAAGATGGTCAACGTCAAGTGGACATTGCCAAAAATTTGAAGCTGAAGCGTAAAGCAATTTGGGCAATATTGAACAAATATAAACAAAAAGGTATCTTGGAAGCCTCTAAGAGAAGTGGTCGGCCTAGAAAACTAAATGCTAGATCAGTTAGATTAATAAAAGAAATTTCGTCCAAAGATCCGTTTAAAACCCCGAGACAAATAAAAGCAGAAATCGAGACAAAAGGAATTGTCAGTGTTTCTACGGAAACTATAAGTAGAAGATTGAATGATTTGAAGTTATTGGCACGTCGCCCGAGTAAGAAGCCACTAATCTCGAGGAAAAACCGTAAGGACCGATTACAATTTGCACGGTTGCATCTTGATTGGAGCATCTGCGACTGGAAGAGGGTATGTTTCAGTGACGAATCCAAGTTCAATATGTTTGGATCAGATGGTGTTCATTACGTTAGACGTCCTAGTGCACAAAGCTTGAACCCCAAGTACACTTTGCCCACTGTCAAACATGGAGGCGGGTTTGATATGGTTTGGGGGTGCTTTTCGGGGTTTAGGATGGGACCTTTACATAGAGATGGCATTATGGATAAGTTTGTATACACAGACATACTAAAGCATGTCATGTTACCCTATATGGAAGACAATATGCCCTTAGAAGCACACTTCAAATCTCGCAAAGAAATTGTTTCTCGATGAAAAAATACCAGTTCTCAAATGGCCTTCACAGTCTCCCGATATAAACCCTATTAAAAATCTATGGGAATACTTAGATAAGCAAATACGAGATAAAAATTATTCAAACAAGGATGAACTTTTTGCCGCTTTAGAGCAAAAGCGGAGACATATTGATGGATCTTATATCAAGAAATTTCTACAATCTATGCTGAGACGATGCCAGGCGGTGATTGATAATAATGGTTTTGCTACAAAATATTAACACCAACATGGTTGGTTTTCTATAATTCAATGAACTTTGCTTCTTTTTTCTATAATTGTATTGCTTTGTCTATATATTTTCGTCCTTCATAGTTCCATTTATTTCAATTAATTTTTTATTGAAGGGAGCCTAATTTATATATAAGTGAGTATTATGCTATAACGAATTATGTATACAGGTTGGTGTATTAATAAAACAAGTTAAAAAGAAATACAGCACAATATTAATTTGTCTATATAAAGGGTGTCTCAGAAATATTTTCGTTTTTAGATCAGTCCTCTGGCGGAATACGCATGCTCCGGAGAAACGAGACAGTTGACAAACGTTTGGCAACATTGTTAAATTTTAGTTGCAATGGAGCGTTTTACAGGGCCGCAACGTGCTTTTTGTGTTCGCGAGTTCTATAAAAACAAGGATTCTTATGTGCTTGTACGTCGTTTGTACAGAAATCATTATAACATAGCAAGAATGAGAGATGTCCCAAGCGCAAATTTAATTAAATATTGGGTAAGAAAGTTCGAGAGCACTGGAAACACGTGTATTAGTAAACCGCCTGGACGGCCAAGGTCAGCAAGATCGAACGAAAATATTGAACGTGTGCGCCAGTCCGTTAACGAGGATCCCCGGCAATCATTAAGACTGCGTGGAGCGTCTCTAACTTTGCATAAGTCAACTGTTCATCGCATTATTCGCAAGGATTTGCATTTTCACCCATACAAGATTGTTGTTACACAACAATTAAAACCACAAGATCCCGCTAATCGATTAGAGTTCTGTAGAACAATGAGAGAGCATTTTAACGGTTACAACAACATATGGTTTTCTGATGAATCGAATTTTCACATTAACGGGCATGTTAATAAACAAAACTGCCGATATTGGGCCGAGCAGAACCCGCAAAATCTTCATGAGACGCCATTACACTCGCCTAAAGTTATCGTCTGGGCTGCTATGTCAGGGCAAGGAATCATTGGCCCGTATTTTTTTGAAGACAATCGTGGCCAAGCTCAAACTGTAACATCTGAGCGCTACTGCCACATGATTAGGACTTTTTTAACTCCAGCTATACAGAACCATGGTGGCTACAATAGAAACACGTTTTTCCAGCAAGATGGAGCGACTTCTCATGTCACGAATGAATCCTTGGATGCTCTTCATCAGTTATTCCCAGAGAGGGTCATCAGTCGCAGAGGAGACATTAACTGGCCACCGAGAAGTCCCGATTTGACACCAGCAGATTTTTTCTTATGGGGATACCTGAAGAGTAAGGTATACACCCCACCGCCACAAGATTTGAGAGAGTTGAAGCAAAAAATAACAGATGAAATAAACGCCATTCCTCGAGCAATGCTTCGGAGAGTGATCGAAAACTTCAGTTCGAGATTAAGAGAGTGTGAAAACATGAACGGTGCTCATTTATCCGATACTCTTTTCCATAAATAAAATTAATGTTTAGGCTTTCGTTTGGTAATAAATTTATCTTTGTAAAAATATTCTAAGTATTTTTATTTATGGCATAAAATAAGAAAATATTTATGAGACACCCTTTACTTTTGTCCATTACTGTATGCTCCTCGACACATTTGTCCTTTATCGCCAACTATGTATATTTATTGATTAAAATATTTATCTGTATTTCCAAAAAAATATCCGAAATGACTCGAGATATCCTAGCGTCATCTATGAGAATCTGTCACAGCTATGTGTCTCCTCTCCGCAATAACTAGGAATTTAGTTTGAAAAAATATATGGCGCTGTAAATGCTCTCTCTATGAGATAACTAACCTTTCCAAAGTAGATTTCTAAGTAGCGTGTAGATGAGAAGCAGAACCTTGACAAATTCTCATAGATGGCGCTCATTTTATCTCGGATGATTTTTTGGACGCTGAGATACAGTAATAGACTATATTCAGACAGAATTCGCTGATCAATGGTATACCGGAATGTGTGACAACGAATTAAAATATTTCGTATAACGTGACAGTTGAGAAAGTAGCTTTAGGCTTCCGGCACTCAGGTCATTAATACATACTCCTTGCATCAAAATATTTTTTTTGTTACTTTAAAAAATCATTATAGACTTTATAATTTTAAAAGCTCAAATGGTTAAACCGCATCTCTATAAAGAATTCTTTCTCCAAGCTACTACAATCCTATTAGACAGCTTTTTTAGAGTGCATCCAAACCAACTTGGGACCACTATTTTTTCATCCAATTGGCAGACATTTCTGATTATTACTGGATATTAATATAAAAATTAAAAAAATGCGGCATTATATACAGTCCACAAAACAAAATAGAACTAAAATATTCGATTCGAACATTTTTTTTAATCATACTTTAGCTACCTACAAACAGAATCATTCTGGTGACTATGGTTCTGATTGCCGGTTTAATTATAGCTGATAAACATGTCGCTTAAATTATAGTTTTTCATATAATGGGTGATTTTTTTGCTAGTATCTTTTTGGCAACACTGTTTTTGACAGATGACGCGTGAATCGTGTCTTGTGTCATTGTCAAACTTGACAATTTGGTCTATAATTTAACCATGAATCGACTTACGAACGAACAACGCTTGCAAATTATTGAATTTTACTATCAAAATTCATGCTCGGTTAAGAGAGTGCATCGAGCACTGCTTCCAATTTATGGGCGATTTGGTCGGCCTACTGAGGGAGCTATTCGGAAGCTTGTGACTAAATTTCGAACCCAGTTTACATTATTGGACATTACACCACCAACACGCAGACGTAGAGTGAGGACTGAAGAAAATATTGCGGCTGTATCCGCCAGTGTTAGTGATGACCGTGAAATGTCGATTCGCCGCCGTTCGCAGCAATCGGGCCTCTATTACTCCACTACGTGGAAAATTTTGCGATAGGATTTGGGTGTAAAACCTTATAAGATACAGCTGGTGCAAGAATTGAAGCCAAACGACCTCCCACAATGTTTCCCATTTGGTGAATGGGCGCTGGCAAAGTTGGAGGAAGATCCACATTTTTATCGAAAAATTGTGTTCAGCGACGAAGCTCATTTCTTGTTGAATGGGTACGTTAACAAGCAAAATTGCCACATCTGGAGTGAAGACCAGCCAGAAGCATTGCAAGAGCTACCAATGCATCCCGAAAAAATCACTGTTTGGTGTGGATTATGGGCCGGTGGCATCATCGGGCCGTACTTCTTCAAAGACGACAATGGCCGGAACGTAACTGTGAATGGCGAGCGCTACCGTGCGATGATAACAAACTTTTTTTTGCCCAAAATGGAAGAGCTGGACTTGGCTGACATGTGGTTTCAACAAGACGGTGCCACATGCCACACCGCACACGAAACAATGGCCCTATTGAGAGGCGAGTTCGGTGAACAGTTTATCTCACGTTTGGGGTCCGTCAATTGGCCGCCTAGATCGTGTGATTTAACACCGTTGGACTATTTCTTGTGGGGCCATGTTAAGGCTAATGTCTACAGGGATAACCCAGCAACGATTGACGCACTGGAAGCCAATATTGAAGCATTTATTCGTGAGATACCGGCCCATATGTTGGAGAGAGTGTGCCAAAATTGGACCTTGCGCATGGGCCATCTAAAGCGGCATTTACATGAAATAATCTTTAAACATTAAATTATATCGACCGTTCTATCGACTCAAATAAAGATTTAATCGTTCTCTCAAATTTTTTGTGTTTTTTTTTTGAAAATAAAATCCTATACCTCTTAAAAATCACCCGTTATAATGAAGACTGAAAATGCAGAACAGAACCTTGTGTCTCCTCCAGTCAAAATAGGGAAAGTTATTTGGCCTGAACCCAACCTAAAAAACCTCTTGAATCACATATCCTGAGTGAGTGCCTCAATCTCATTGAGACTCTTCATCGTTCTGCTGTTTATGGACATCAGTATCAGTCACAGTAATCTCCGTTTGACCTTCGGTTTCTTCCTGAGCCTCCGCGACTCTCTTGATGACGCTCTCCACCAGACTGTCAGCAAACTGCTTGAGTTCCGCGTTTACCACGCCATTGTTCGAGGTTTGGAAATTAGCGTCTTTCTTTTTCTGGTGTACTGGCAGAGGAAGGGATGAAGGTCTCGACTGTGGTTGTTTTTGGAACGGGAAAACTTTGGCTGCTTCACCCTGCAGGAAAAACGTTTTTATCTAACGGCGACTCTGAATAGGCAATATTTTTTCTGCATCTAGGCGCAATAGAGTAGCCAGCGACATACAGCAATTTGATAAACATAATGTCACAAAAAATCGATATAATGTGACTTTTTAAGTTGCGTAATATGGCTATGGGTCGTATGCTGACTTATGAGCTTGCTCACTGGGCAATACTTGCCAATATTAAGGACAAATATTGCCACAAAAGTGCTCGTTTAGAAGCTCCATCAGTGGCGCATCTTCTGTGGGAAGGGCGATCAGGAAGTTGATAGTTACGAATTTGCTTTGCGACTGCCCAGCTATATTGGCACTATACAAATAATTTTTTCAATAGTTTACCCAACTACGAGTAGCCTACGTTCAAAGATGCCAGTTTACAAGTGAGGTGTTTCTATTTTACATGCTTAAAAAAGAAGGCATGGTAGTTAATATTTTAACGATTGAAAATTTTGCTTAAGACTTGTTGAAGTAAAATCGTAGACATAAGATGATTTACAGTTTCAAAATTTAGTTAGAGTAGAAGAATATGGCTATGCCCTACCTCCGATAATATTTATGTAGAATATCCAACTATTCTATGTCCAATCTTTTCAGAAAAAACTCTGTCAAGTTGTTACGTAAATCGAGCACTTTCGTTAGTAATAAATAAACATCATTACCATAGTTCTATCACCTCATATTTCTTTTGCAATGATAAGCGACGTCTTAATCTCACGTTTCCTGTGTAAACAATGTGAAAGCAACGTCAAGTTTTTATGGATCTTTAGCACTTACTTGTGGAGTGTGTACGGCAACAATTTCTGTCTGTGTAGCAATACCATTTTCATTATTTAACTGATGATTTATGCCTGCAGTCTGACTGAAAACCGTCATGACTTTCACTATATCCTGCATTGAGTTTTGCAGCTGTTGTATCTGGAATAAAAATAGAAAGAATAGATGTTTTTAAATTAATAGTGTGTAATTTCAAGAGCCCGCATTACGTAAAAAACTGCATTATTCTCGCAGATCCTAAAATAAGCAACTTGTGTACGGATAGCTATACTAAATATATTTCTCTTTTGTTACTAATGGCGTAATTTCAGGTAGGGCCCTAAAAGTTACAATAATACCGGGTGCGCCATCTTTTATGACGGTAATGAAACATCGAATGACTTTGATATTTACCAACCGAGTGATTTGGCTATACGTGTTTCTGAAACGTCAATTTACTAATGTATGTAATTATAGTCATGAATCGCTTTACACTGGAACAACGCGCCGAAATAGTCACAATGTACATTGAAAATCGTCATTCAGTTGTGTTAACGCAAATATCGTGGCAAACAGGGACAACACTATCCGTCCTTTGGTTTCGAATTTTCTTGAGTACAGGACAGTGGGAGACCGTCAACATACCGTTCATCAACGACCAAGACGTTCCAATGATTTGGTTGAAGCGGTCAGAGATAGCGTTGCCCAGAACCCAAAAGTGTCGTATCGTCACCGCGCTCAGCATTTTGGCATCAGTGGAACCACGTTGCGGCGCATTCTGAAGGATGATTTGCATTTGTTTACTTATAAGGTGCAGTTAACACAAAAAATATTGCCAACTGACCGTTCACGTCGCACAGTGTGGCGCCCAATGGAAAAAAATACTCAAAAACATAATTTTTGACATTAGAATTCTGTTGCTTTTATTATACCATTGGATAGATAAATAGTCACTGCAACACGTAAGTATAGTACTTTAATCAAGTTGGCTGCGATTTACCTATTTTAGCAACTTTAAAGTTAGACATGTCGAGACCTGTCAAGAAGGCGAAAAATCTCTCTGTTTTATTGCTCGGGAAAGATATAAATTTTGTGTCGAAATATTTAAATATTTTAACTTTTCCAATATGGCTGGTAAGTACATTATATTGATGTATAGATTTATTTAAAATACAATTATAATTAGATAATTTTTTAAGTTAAAGTGACTATTACCGATTTTTTTAATTTTTTTTAAACTTTTGACTTTGTTCAGAGTTTTACAAAAATCACCTCCCATCACCCTAAAAAAAATTTTATTTATTGTTTATCTGTCCATAGTAAGTTTTGATAAAAAGTTTAAATCACGTCATGCCACGTCTAAGGGAGATATATTTTTTTTAGGACATGGTGCTATTGTCAGAAATAGAGATTTGATTGATGTGTGGATAGAAGCACCGAGAGAAAATAGCAAACAGGTGGTTTATGAAAAGATATTATCTCTTACTGATATAACAGATGAACCTTCCAAACATCTTGAAAGTAATATTATGAAGTGCAGCCAGTTGTTTGGGTTGAAAATGGCAAATAAATGGCAGAAAGTAGGACAATCTCGGAATCGACTTTTACAAAATCATGTATATTGGTTAGACAAGAATATATATAGAATAAATAATGATTCTGAAGAAAACACATCTTCGGATGAGGAACAAGAACCTCCTTGTTGCTCAGTTGGACGGCCACGGGTACCATTTGAAGAGGCATCGAAGAAAGCAAAACGAAGACGTGTAGCCGAACTAACCACAGACAGATCTGCAAATGAACTTCAATTTGCTGTAAATGTCTTATGGTAGATTTGGATATATTCGTAAGAAAGTATTTGCTACTTAGGTCTGTTATTAATGGTAAGGCCCAGAACTGCCTTCCTAGTTATAAAGAATTACAGAAAACAAAAAATGCTATCCTCCCTTCACAATTTATTATTACTGAAATTTCTGCAGTAGTTGATTTGCAAGAACTTCTACAGAAAACAGCTGGAAGTATCCTTGAAATAATAAATTTTGAAGAGAGAGATTGCCGGATTAAAGTGATATGCAAGTGGGGATTTGATGGCAGTTCTGGGCATAGCCAATATAAGCAGACATTTTCTGATTTAGAAAACACCGACGAATTTCGGTTTCTTGTAGCAATGACGCCACTGAGATTGATTGATATGGAAACGAATAAGGTATTGTGGAAAAATGAGAGCCCTTCATCTACTTTATATTGTAGGCCGATCAAGTTTTTATTTAAAAAGGAAAATGCTGATTTAGTGCGGAATACGGAAAAGGAAATAATAACAAAAATTGAAAATTTGATTCCTATTGAGATTAAAATAAAAGAAGGGCACTCTTATATAATTGAAGTTGATATGATGTTAACAATGTTGGACGGCAGTGTTGGAAACGTTCTATCAGAGACAAATTCACCTATGAAGTGCATCATTTGCGGAGCCACACCCAAGGACATGAACACCTTAGCAGGGATTAACCGTCCTCCTAACGTAGACAATTACCGGTTTGGTTTGTCAACTTTATACTGCTGGATTCGTTTTTTTGAATGCTTACTCCATATTGGATACCGCCTGCCAATTAAATCTTGGCAGGTTCGTGGGCCTGAAAACAAAGCTATAGTCGAAGCAAACAAAAAACGAATCCAAGCAGAGTTCAGAGCCAAGCTGTCTCTAATAGTTGACAAACCAATACCCGGGTATGGCTCCTCAAATGATGGCAATACGGACAGAATTATTTTCCACAATCCACAAACAAGTTCAGATATCTCAGGGGTTGACAGGGAATTAATCGAGAAATTTGCGATCATCTTAGGAGTGTTAGCTAGTGGTTGCGCTATTGATATGGAAAAGTTTGCGTCATTGCTTGAAGAAGCAAGAAATTTGTATATCCACCTTTGTAAGTGGTACAACATGCCAAACACGGTACATAAGGTTCATGGGTGTGAGATAATTGATGGATTTTGTTTGCCCATTGGAGAACTGTCGGAGGATGCGCTTGAGGCTCGCCATAAAGAGGTTAGGAAACATCGATTATCTCACACCAGAAAATGTTCAAGAACAGATACGAATAAGGATTTCATGCGTGTTCTTTTACTTACTTCTGATCCTTTTATATCATCAAAAAGAAAGGTGAGCTCAAAAAAATATAAGAAATGCAACGAGGCAGTTCAGAACTATGTAAAAAAGCAAGAAAATGATGATTTAGGTATTGACTTAGGTACAATAACGAATGACACAGCACCGAGCAAGAAATCCTATTCCGATTAGAATGGGTATATTTGGTGTTATTTTTTTAATATAGTTTATATTATTATTTCATACATTACCTACTAAGTAATTGTTATTTTGTTAAATATATTTTTTTAAATAAAAACCTAAATATCAATTTCAAATTATACAGATTTATTTTTTATTTGAATTATTCTTATTATTTTTTCAAATAGATAGAAAGATTTAATAAATCATCACGATTTATGCGAAATGCATCCCGCCTGCTCCCCCACCCCTTCTTATTATTATAAATAATTTTTGTCATACTTTAGAAAGCTACTTAAATAAGTAACCGACCTGCGTTTACAGAATTCAAATAGGACCACTAGTTTTTAAGATATCGAATTTTGTCCCTGATCCCTATAAAGGAACACACTGTGCGTCGCTTGGAATACGCCCAAACAGTCGCTCGCATGGTTGATGCTGAACCTGATTTTTGGAAGCAAATTTTGATGACCGACGAGGCCCATTTCACGCTCTCTGGCGTCGTTAATAAGCAAAACTGCCGCATTTGGGGGACGCAAGATCCACATGAGATCCACGAAATGCCGTTGCATGAGCGGAAAGTGATGTCAAAAAGAGGTGACATTGACTGGCCACCCAGGTCTCCAGATTTGACACCACCGGACTTCTTCTTGTGTGGTTATTTGAAAAGTTAAGTATACGCCAGTAATCCACTGAAGAACTGAAGGCAAGCATTCGTACCGCACTCGCCGCTATACAACCAGAGATGCTCGATAAAGTAATGGAAAACGCAGCAGACCGGGCACATTTTGTTTTTGTCAATAAAGGTGGCCACTTGATAGATGTTGTGTTCAAAAAGAAGGTCCATATTTGATAAAAATACCCGATATATAGAAACCAGTTTTTCGTTTTCGAAGTTATTTCATATTTACATAAGTGCCATTTTTCACATAATAAGGGGGCGATAAATATATGACACTGACCTGTGTCTGTAACATGGTGCAAGTCTGTGACAGTTCCTTGACCACGTCAGAATTGTTCATGGCCAAATTGGTCATGCTGAAGTCCCTGGTCAGTCCACTACCTCCTGCTTCTTCATTGGGTTGTAATGCGGATATCTTCTTCCACAGGGCGCTTATGGCCTCGGTTTGCAACATTTGGATTTTGCGTTCGCTTTCCAGAGCGGCCTTTGTCGTTTCCATATCAGTTGCCAGTTTTCTGTTTTAGGATGGAAACTAGATCAAAATATAGCTCGATATATTGATATTAAGCTTTATTATAATCGCATTTATTATATGTATGTTACCGATATCACATGGTAGCCCGCTATGGAAGAAAATTTGCTATTCAAAAAGTACACTTTCTCAAAAAGTTGCTCGTTGGCGATGATTGCCTCCCACCAGCAAACAATTCAAATGGTCAGCCATATAGTCAACGCCAAACAAAGTGGCGTGCACGTCATCAAGGTGGGTGTGTTGAAAAATTTACATTGTTGCCAAACTTTTTGTAAAATAATAAAATTTATTATTTACATATCTAGGTTTATAAGCAATATTAACCTCAAATGAGAACAAAAATAATAGTATAATAAAATTATAGATCTGTACTTGCATAATCATTAAGTATGACAATTATTGATCAGATGACACTATGAAACTACCATATTTAATTGATAGCTTAAAGGTACTGAATAAAAATCCAAATGGGGTCCTCCAAATTTTATGCATGGTATTTATTTTACAGAATTCATACAGAAAAATGCATTCTAAAATTAGGTAAGCTACTGGTGTAAGCTTTTTCTGTACAATAAAGTTAGTCGGAGTTTCTTTCTTCAGCGCTGTCTGAATCTGAATCTTCATCACTCTCAAAGTTGATTATTAAAGGTTCGATGTCTGGTCGATCAAAAATTCGTTCTCTTTCATACCATTTAAAAATTTCTTGCTCAGTATGTCGAACACTATTTTTCCACATGTCTGGGGTAACCGTTTGTAGAGCCTCGTTCCACATATCCAAACAGTCTTTTTCACTGTTACCATCTCTACCAATATGTCTGTTATAGTAACCTTTTGCTATGCCCCAAATTAACTCAATAGGGTTAAATATACAATGGTAAGGAGGCAGACGAAGAACTTTGTGCCCATGTTGTTCCGCCAATTCATCAATCACGTATATTTTAGGTGGTTTGTTTCTAAAAAAGCAGTTATTTTAAGAATAGGAATAAACAAAAGAAATATAAACTGTCGACCAAAATATATATAATTAAGAAGCATTATGTACCGAGCAACAATACTCAATAGCTCTGTTTTAAACATTGTGTTTAAAAATGGTATGTTTTGATTTGTCAACCAGTCTTGGATATTTTTTTTTGTCCATGCATTGTTGGGCACTTTGTTCAATATCATGCTGTAATAAGGGGCGTTATCCAGTATAATCATAGATGGACTCTCCAATTTTTCTAATAACTTATGTTGAAACCATTTCAAAAAATTGTCCTGGTTCATCTCTCCATGGTAATCGCTCAATTTTGTTTTCGAAGAAAATATCGCTTCACTACCCTCAATAAACCCATTTTCATTTCCAGCATGTAATATAATGTATCTAAAATATATTAGTTTTAAATTTTATAGTGCAAATTGTGTAAAAGTACATACCTTTTACCATCTGTTTTAATAGCTTTCACGCTTTTTTGGTTTCCATTTTGCCAAGAGCGACCTATGGTCCCATTTTGAAATATCCAAGTTTCATCGAGGAAGACAAACTGGCATAAGGCCTCAACCTTGGCTTGATTGTATTGCCTTAGAAATTCCACCCTTTTCAAAGCTATACTTGGTAGTTCCATGAGCCCTCGTCGCGGATTGTCCTTAAGCCACTTAAATCCACTACCATCAAATAATGCCCTATCTCTTAATCGAGACCATAAAGTTTGTATCGTAACTTGTTCTTCTGAAACCATGTGTAATATGACATTATAATTTAGTTAACAAATTAATGCAAATTTCTGATAAGTTATTATAATAAGATCTTACTTTTGTGATACATATTATAGATCACTTCTCGAATGGCACTTGTATCCAATGTCGCTGCGTTGGTTACACGTTTAATATAACTCCGCTTTTTCTTGGGCGATTCTAAATTTGCATCACTTTTCACACCCTCGGAAATACGACTAACTGTCCTTAAACTAATTTTTAAAGCAGCAGCAACACGCTACAAAAAATGAAATAAAATTTCACTATTATTAATATACATTACATATAATTATTAGTAACCTACCTCTTGAACAGCATTTAAAGGCAACAAAGGCCCGTTGTTGTCCCTTTCTTGCTCAAAGTAGTGCATTAACGAGGCCACGAGTTCCTTACACCGACTATTTAACTGTTTGGGCATCTTTATATACCAAAATTGCCTTTATCTACTCGTAAAATGAATAATTTTGTTTTGAAACAAACAGTTGTTGATTTACAGTATGCGGGGCCAAAGGATTTATAAAGATTTGAAATGCCACAAATTGATTCAGTGTCAAAATTAATACAAATGTCAGTTCCCAGTTTAAATAAGTTTCAAGGTGACAATGTGTCAACGCTGCGAAATCGGTTTAGTGCGTTTACATGTCGATAAGTGATTGGAGCGTTTGCAAAACATTTTATTTCGCATAATGCGTCTAAATTTATCAGAAAGCAACGTATGTGATATTTTAATAACAATGTTTATATGACTATTAACCATAATAAGAGAGTAATGACCATTTTACAATTTATATATCACATTAATATGAAACTGCAATAGAGCAATTGTTTGTGATAGAAACCTAGGCATTAGGTCGGGGAATTTTTATCGTGATGACGTGCACGCCACTTTGTTTGGCGTTGACTATATATAAAATCATACATGCTTGAAGACTTTTGAAAATTTTCTTACATCTCTTGAAATTATCATGTGGTTTTTATGCTTATATAAATAACTCCATGTTTCTCTGGCCAAATGCCAAATCAAACTACATATATGATAATATTACTTTTCGTTTCGGTCATAGTACAGATAGATCAATGACAAGGACAATACATTTTGTCAAAAAATAGAAAATACATTATCATTTATTGATTCATTTGCATTTTTGACAAACTATATTGCCATTGATCTGTACTTTGTAAAAGACCACCGTGAGTGGCCAAAAAGTCAATAAAAAGTAATATTAATCTTCTTAGTTTAAATACGTTTCATAATTACACCTTTGCCGTGACAGATTTTCATTTTTGATGTCCGCCGCTACATACAAAAAAGCACGAAGTGTTATGCTGTCGAATTTGAGGTATAAAATTGGTCGTTTGAGACTCCCCTTTGGTCCTAGCAAATCACTAATGTCATACTAGTAATACAGCTTTCGTCCATCCGACCATGGACATCTGCCTCATATTTTTTGGCAATCATCAGCATGGTCTAGGCTTCGAAGTACACGTAACCGATTTTTCATAGAAAGATGTCGTCGTCTGGGGAGCGAATTTCGCAATCGACATCGAAAAAACTCGCAAATCTAAAACCATGCGACAATGAATTACGCGATAGAGAGATTTTGTCATCAATAAAGTAGGAGTTTGCTTGAAAATACTTTTTCTTCTTTATTGACCATCATTTTCCAACACCCATCGTAAAATCAAATATCTTTATAAAAGTGACAGCACAGCGATAGACGATATTAAAAATAAAATTCCAGTGTCGTATGCGACACCGATGTCGAAACGAGAGTGCGACATTTTCGTGCGACAAATCTCGTATGCAAGATTCGAGAACACCGCCCCTGCTCACATTTATGCTGACCATTTCGAAAATTTTCTCAAATGCGATTTGAAACAAATATCTAGGACTTTGTGTAGCAAAATTTTTATTTTCGCCTGCAGCTGTCACAAATTGAATACAGTGAGGTAAACAATTGTGAATCATCCTGTAGCTGAATTTGAGACCTGAAATCCTCTCCATCCTAGCATCAAAATAAGGTTTAGATTATTGAGTGCTAAGAAAACCTATAAACTATAGTCAACGCCAAACAAAGTGGCGTGCACGTCATCACGATAAAAATTCCCCGACCTAATGCCTAGGTTTCTATCACAAACAATTGCTCTATTGCAGTTTCATATTAATGTGATATATAAATTGTAAAATGGTCATTACTCTCTTATTATGGTTAATAGTCATATAAACATTGTTATTAAAATATCACATAAGTTGCTTTCTGATAAATTTAGACGCATTATGCGAAATAAAATGTTTTGCAAACGCTCCAATCACTTATCGACATGTAAACGCACTAAACCGATTTCGCAGCGTTGACACATTGTCACCTTGAAACTTATTTAAACTGGGAACTGACATTTGTATTAATTTTGACACTGAATCAATTTGTGGCATTTCAAATCTTTATAAATCCTTTGGCCCCGCATACTGAAAATCAACAACTGTTTGTTTCAAAACAAAATTATTCATTACGAGTAGATAAAGGCAATTTTGGTATATAAAGATGCCCAAACAGTTAAATAGTCGGTGTAAGGAACTCGTGGCCTCGTTAATGCACTACTTTGAGCAAAAAAGGGACAACAACGGGCCTTTGTTGCCTTTAAATGCTGTTCAAGAGGTAGGTTACTAATAATTATATGTAATGTATATTAATAATAGTGAAATTTTATTTCATTTTTTGTAGCGTGTTGCTGCTGCTTTAAAAATTAGTTTAAGGACAGTTAGTCGTATTTCCGAGGGTGTGAAAAGTGATGCAAATTTAGAATCGCCCAAGAAAAAGCAGAGTTATATTAAACGTGTAACCAACACAGCGACATTGGATACAAGTGCCATTCGAGAAGTGATCTATAATATGTATCACAAAAGTAAGATCTTATTATAATAACTTATCAGAAATTTGCATTAATTTGTTAACTAAATTATAATGTCATATTACACATGGTTTCAGAAGAACAAGTTACGATACAAACTTTATGGTCTCGATTAAGAGATAGGGCATTATTTGATGGTAGTGCCACGTCTTTAAGGCGGTTGCTTAGAGATCTTGGATTTAAGTGGCTTAAGGACAATCCGCGACGAGGGCTCATGGAACTACCAAGTATAGCTTTGAAAAGGGTGGAATTTCTAAGGCAATACAATCAAGCCAAGGTTGAGGCCTTATACCAGTTTGTCTTCCTCGATGAAACTTGGATATTTCAAAATGGGACCATAGGTCGCTCTTGGCAAAATGGAAACCAAAAAAGCGTGAAAGCTATTAAAACAGATGGTCAAAGGTATGTACTTTTACACAATTTGCACTATAAAATTTAAAACTAATATATTTTAGATACATTATATTACATGCTGGAAATGAAAATGGGTTTATTGAGGGTAGTGAAGCGATATCTTCTTCGAAAACAAAATTGAGCGATTACCATGGAGAGATGAACCAGGACAATTTTTTGAAATGGTTTCAACATCAGTTATTAGAAAAATTGGAGAGTCCATCTATGATTATACTGGATAACGCCCCTTATCACAGCATGATATTGAACAAAGTGCCCAACAATGCATGGACAAAAAAAAATATCCAAGACTGGTTGACAAATCAAAACATACCATTTTTAAACACAATGTTTAAAACAGAGCTATTGAGTATTGTTGCTCGGTACATAATGCTTCTTAATTATATATATTTTGGTCGACAGTTTATATTTCTTTTGTTCATTCCTATTCTTAAAATAACTGCTTTTTTAGAAACAAACCACCTAAAATATACGTGATTGATGAATTGGCGGAACAACATGGGCACAAAGTTCTTCGTCTGCCTCCTTACCATTGTATATTTAACCCTATTGAGTTAATTTGGGGCATAGCAAAAGGTTACTATAACAGACATATTGGTAGAGATGGTAACAGTGAAAAAGACTGTTTGGATATGTGGAACGAGGCTCTACAAACGGTTACCCCAGACATGTGGAAAAATAGTGTTCGACATACTGAGCAAGAAATTTTTAAATGGTATGAAAGAGAACGAATTTTTGATCGACCAGACATCGAACCTTTAATAACCAACTTTGAGAGTGATGAAGATTCAGATTCAGACAGCGCTGAAGAAAGAAACTCCGACTAACTTTATTGTACAGAAAAAGCTTACACCAGTAGCTTACCTAATTTTAGAATGCATTTTTCTGTATGACTTCTGTAAAATAAATACCATGCATAAAATTTGGAGGACCCCATTTGGATTTTTATTCAGTACCTTTAAGCTATCAATTAAATATGGTAGTTTCATAGTGTCATCTGATCAATAATTGTCATACTTAATGATTATGCAAGTACAGATCTATAATTTTATTATACTATTATTTTTGTTCTCATTTGAGGTTAATATTGCTTATAAACCTAGATATGTAAATAATAAATTTTATTATTTTACAAAAAGTTTGGCAACAATGTAAATTTTTCAACACACCCACCTTGATGACGTGCACGCCACTTTGTTTGGCGTTGACTATATACTTGATCTATTATATAAATGATAACTATATATACTTGAAATCAAAGTCAGAATGAGTTCCATTGTGCTTCCACTTACTGAATATATTGATTAGCCCTCTGACTTTGCAACTCCCTAAACATCTCCTGCACTTCCTTGTCCTTGTTCCTCGTATAGAACCCTCTCCATATCCTCTGAATACAAATCGCCGCCCTTTCAACTTTATCTTCTCCTCCCACTCCCCCAGAATTGCTATTCGCCTCTTCTTCTTTCTGCATTTTCCTTTCGACAGCTTTCATTTGGATGGTTTGAAGTTTGGCGTCACATATTTCGGACTCCTCCTCACTGCTCGGAGAGCGGTGACGAAGAATGGAGGACTTTTTGTTGGTCTCTTGCTTGCTAAAATAAAATAAAAATAAGTGAATTCAAATTATTCTTGCGGTTTAATTTTAAAATTTGAAATGAGGACTTCGCGATGTCTCGGCATGTTAACCTTTCAGATTATTGTATACGAATCAGAAACTGAAAAAAATATCAACACGCTAGATTCCAGAAACTCCTGAAGCTCATTCCAAACTGAATCTTACTGTAGGATCACTCACTTGACATGTCCACTATCTCGGATCTTCTGTCTCGAAGGTGATGGAGATCCACATTTCCTCAAATGTTCTTGGTTCAGTTGATTCCGGGTCCTTCCAGGGGGTGCTGATCTGGACATATTGTTTCCTGACCTGGCTGTATGGGTGATCTTGGGTGATCCTATTCTGCTGATGCCCATCGAGGCCATCATGGGGTCTTTTTTACCATCGGCCAAGGATGGCCGGTAATCAGGGCTCATTAAAGATTCGGGGACTGGCACCATCTTTGAAAGGGCTTGTAGTGGGCTGTTGATCGGTTCATTGTCTGAAAAAAAAAAACGTATAGATTGACTCAAAAGGAGAGTCCTTGGGATGTTTACACGGTTAATGGGTGAATCAGGTATGCAGATTCTCGATTGGTGCTGCGACTCGTGGAGAGTAAATCATTTTTTATCCCTAATTCGACCCCACGATACTTCGGCTTTTTTGATGATCATTCGGAATCAGCGCCCCAAATTACCCCGATGTAAAGAGCTTTGTTCATTTGTAACTATGGGGGAGAAAAATGGAATTTTTGCATTGTGAAACTTTAAAACTTTAAACTGATGAAATTTTCAAAAAATTCTTGCGGATCTGCAGTGTCGATGAATGCCCGTTTGTAAGGTAAATTAGGTGGGTGAATCACGTATCTGATGTCCGTTTCTCGTTGCAATGGACGGGAGAGCCTAAGGGCCGTATCGTCAGTCGTTCCCACAGATGCAGAACGCCTTTATGACCTCCTTGATTTTCAGAGTATTTTATCTCCTTCAGGGTACTTCTAGTTCTAGGTTTCTACTGTTTCGTGTCAGCGTCAGCGCTCTGCTATTGTGAGACTATGTTTTCTTTTTGAATTGCAGAAAGTTTCAGGCTGATATAACGGAAGATATAAATCAAAAGTATGTATAAACAATTTGATGTAAATAGATATTTTTAACATAACCTCAAAATAGAGCGTTGACACGGAACAATAGAAAACTATGAAAATCAAGGAGGCCGTAAAGACGTCCTGCAATTGTAGGAACGACTGACGATACGACCCTAAATATCCTACTTAATTTTCGCTTCCTCGATATTTCAGAACTTTTTTATGGTCATATTCGAATTCGGCGGCCCAAATTACCCAGGTACACAAAGTTTCGTCTACTTGTTGCCACAGCAGACGGAAACACAAATTTTACACACCAAAGCCATACAGTTATTATGGAAGGCTTAGAAAAAGCCAGACAAATATAAAAAATATCATACCTACCTAAACATTTCTCCGGAATGCTCTGACAGTTGTTACTATCATTCGACACTCTAGATCCGATACTTTGCCTCAACACACTTGGATCCAAGCTCTGAGTCATGATAGAGTTGTTACTCACTTCACTCAAGGTGTTATAACAACTTGATGTCATTCTATCTGGAGATCTGGATTTGTTGCTTAATCTAGAAGCTAGACAAATAACAGATAGTGAAAAACATGTACGACGTTTATCAAGAAACTGGGACATTTTTGATATTGTGAAATTGATATTTTGCCCAACAAAAATGGTTTTGACGTTCGGTATATCGGTAAGGAGATGCTTCACGTACCTAATCTTGGTGAGTGTTTGTTAGCCTGTAACTTCTTCCTACTCAAAGGTGAGGGATTTGGGGTGACTGAAAAATCAATCAATTAGTAAAAGAATTAGTTTTTTAGATTTTGTCACACACCATTTGCAGATGACTGCTGTCTCAGTTGCTGTTGATGATGTTGAGCTTTACTTAAGATCAGTCGTAACTTTCTGTCTTCTTCCGTTTCTAATCTCTCTCCAGTCAGGGGACAGACTGTGGCTAAATAAGAGGTCAGCTCTTTTTGGTCACCTACGCGAAAATTGCGACCTCTACCTTGAGAATACAGCCATTCAGCCCTTAAACTGGAACCGGAAGAAATAATTCTCAGGTAAATTTTATGTTCCCTCTTATACTCCATGCGACAATATAATCACAATGAAAGCTGTCCGTCCAAAGATCAGTATTGTACGCATAAGGCCCATATCGTCAGTCGTCCCTACAATTGTAGGGCGCGTTTATGGCCTCCTTGATTGTCATAGTTTTCTACTTCTCCGTGTCAGCGCTCTATTTTGAGGTTATGCCACAAACATCTATTTGCATCAAATTGTGCTTGCTTTTGAGTTTTATCATGTTTTATCAGCCTGAAATTTCCTACAATTTAAAAGGAAAACATAACAATAGACGCTGATACGGGACGAGTGTAATCTAGAAATTTTTGAAGGAGAGAAAAGAGTATGACAATCAAGGAGGCCATAAACGCGCCCTACAATTGTAGAGACCACTGACGATATGGGCCTTAGACTGTTCGCCTTAAATAAATAAATTGGATTGCCGAAATGGTGGCCATTTGGAATGTTATTTTCATTGCAGCATTCAAAAATTTGTATGACGTCATCCCCACGCATCGGAATAGCTGCTCTTCTATTTGATAACATGCGTACCTTAAGGGACTTGCATCGTTTGTAGAATTTCCAATCGCAATGAGCCAACAGTGTGGAAAAAAAGAAAATCATGCATAATCTTACCTTTCAATGGGATCTACGACGTAGTCGTCAATAACGCTAACATTTAAGCACCAGTTAATAACAAATGGACGGTAGTCAAAGCCTCTATAGCAAAGTGTTAAGAAAAACATGAGTAGCAAGTTTTACCTCATTTCACATTGTTCCATGAAAAGAAGTAGCAGAAAGTTTATTCAAGCAATACACATGCAAATCTCGTTACAATTCGGTAAATGACACATTCTAATGTGTTCGAGGCTTACGTACTTTGAGTGACAAGAGCATTGTGTGAATTATAAAGGATGCCTCAATATATATTCTGGATGTGACGCCTAGATACAAGGTCTGTAAATTAAGTAATGTGACTGACAACGTAGCGTTCGAGCTGGCAACACTGGAGGCGCCAGGTTTGTAGGGGAGACAAGGGAACACGTGATCCGCCTTCATTACAAGTTTGAATTCGCTCGAGTCCGTAGAGATTTTTTTTTGTGTTCTAAAAATGAGTGACATCAATTTTGAGCAACAGTGTGATATCAGGTTTTGCTTCAGACTTTGGCACGGTGCAATGGGAACTGTTGCTAAACTCCAGGAGGCCTATGGAGATAAGTGTTTTGTCAAGAGCTCAGGTTTTTAGGTGGTTTAAGGCATTTTCAGAAGGGAGATAGTCGATTAAAGATGAACTATGAAGCGGAAGGCCTTCATCTTCAAGAACCGATGAAAATATCGACAGAACATTTATACAGGGTGACTTCGAAGTTGAGTCATTTATTTTAACAGTGAGTAGATCTGATCAAAAGAAATGTTTTTTTCCTTTACCATTTTTCTGGTAAAATTAAAGTAACAAAGTTATAGCCCTTTGGAAGTTTGAGTACCGCCCTGTCTCAATAATAATATCATGTGCTCGTGTTTGGCAACAACGGATATAATCCGCCTTATCGGTTCATCGCATCGGAAACAAAAAAGTGAAAGAATTTGGAACGATGTTTTTACAATTATTTTATTCAGTTCAGTTATACATACAGTCAGTGTTAGTCGGTAACGCGTGTGAATAGTGTCTGTTGCGTGGCTCAAACAAAATAAAAAATGGCACATGTTTATGCGGATCGGTTTCCCAATCGAGTGCAACCAACCCCTCGTGCCTTTGTTAATGTAGTACAACGGGCTCGTGAATCAGGTGACTTAAAACCTCACAGGGGACCTCACGATCAAATACAGGTCCGCACTGAAATACTTGTCGGGAGGATACTTTATAAAACAAGGTAAACATTTTTTTTAATTTTTTTTTTATTTTTACACACATATTTTGGTTTATCTTCCTTCTACAATCATTATCTGAAAATTAATGACTCAACTTCAAAGTCACCCTGTATATTATATATGGAATTTAATGATGGACGATTTTTCATGAAAACTACGATCATGGAATGGTAAATGTTCATTGTTATTGTTATCATATACATAGAATTTTTTGGCCCTTAACAACATATTCTTCCACCTAGATAAGACGACATGTCATATGGCGAGGAAAACTTTGGACTTGCCAGAGACCCGTTTAACTGACGACCGCATAATTTTTTGCGATGGTGATGTCCGCCGACTTGCGAGATCATACAATCTAGCAAGCTTTATGTTTTTCATATGTCGTTGGTCATATTCAAAGATAAATGCCAAGACACAGCGGCTGCTATGTGGAGTTTAAAGAAACTTTGTTAGTTTTGTTGATTTATGGACTGCCTAAGGTTAGTAGAACTAGAAAAAGCCTCCTCATGTGGACTGATCCACAATCTCGATACCCTATGGACAAAGGAGCGGTCGTATCGGCCAGTTCTGGATGTACAAAGTTCCACATGGAACGGATGGGAGGCTGAAGGCAGGTGGGTCTGCCTGGCAGGCAAATCGCGCGGCGGCGTCATGGAGGAGAGCTCTGAAGAACAAAGCCCGTAGGCGAAGAAAACTAGAAAGCCGACAGCTCGCTGGTGCGAAAGGGTCTCGAGACTGTTTGTTAGAGAAGAGGCATTGATCAATCGGACAGCTCTCCTCTGAAGAGTATCGAGCATGGATAATGTAGTCGGGGCGGAAGCACCCCAAACATGTGAGCAGTACTCCAGGCTAGGTCTTATCTGAGCCTTGCATAGAGTGAAGAGGTCATGTGGTGAAAAATAATTCTTGGCCCTAAGCTAATCGTCTAGTTTTTTCCTAGCTGCCACTATTGACCAGATGTGTTCGTGCGAGATCAATTCTTTGGTGATACGGACTCCGATCAGCCGATATGAACGGCTCCTTGGTCGACAATCGAAACCCGATGAGCTCTAGGATGCTCCATGTTCGTCAAGGTACGTGTGTTTTGGAAGCATTAAACTGTTGAAGTTCTCCTTTAAAAACATATTCCACTTCTGAAGATAACTCTTGATGATTCTTGCAGTAGTTGAGAGTAGAACCATATTGGAAAAGGATACATATTATTCCCAGTCATGTTAACACAAGGGTTATTAGCTATAGATATCTTAGTTAAATTCACTAGATGAGCTAGCCTGGATATCTCATTCAGGTCAGCTATGTTATTGTTAGCTAGTGTTAGTGTTGTTAAACTTGAGGGTAAAAATCGATCACACTGACCTAAATGGTTAATTTTGTTTTTGTGAAGGTACAATTCCTAAAAATGAAGCCGATGATTAGCTGATCAAGTGGCATGTTGACAGTTCCATAAAAAATGAAATTTACATCAATCTATGCAATAGTTCTGGTTCTGGCACACACTGAAAGCTTTCTGTCAAACTTTTTTTCACATATTGAAACAGACATAAGGCCTAAGTAGTGATGTACAAAGAGATTAAAGTTATTGATCCTTTTTTTATACTGCTTAAGGTTAGTAGAGCCGGAAAAAATGTCTGGAAGTATATTAATCAATTTTGACACTTTAGGAATGAAGGAGTGGTTGTAATAGCCAGACCTTGATGTACAAAATTTGACAGAGCAGGAATGAGAAGAAGCCTTACAAATTGGTTGCCCCATAGAAAAAAGCTCAGAGAAGCAGAGTTCTTTGGCATATCAGTAGTATAAAATGGATGTGATAAAAAACGTTGAGTGAGTATTTTGCTAAAAAGGCCACTAAGAAAGATGTAAATATCATATTTTGTTGAACTATTTGTATGGCATGTAATGATTACCTTCAAATTTTTCAAATATGAGAGATCTGAAACATAACTTATACTATTCTCTGATAAATCCAAATACTCCAGTTTTGTATTGGTATTCAAATGCTCAATGGTCTGAAAATTTTCACAAGTTACTTTCCACACATAGGTCAGGATATTTTAATATAAATATATTCAACATTTTCATTGAAAAAAAAAACAACTCATACATTGATTATCAAACAAATAACATGTATTTGAGAATTAGACCCTGTTTCACAAATATCCATCATGTCTACTGAGGTGAACAGCTGATCAGCAAGTGACATATTTGTAGGAGTCTATAATGTTGGCAATAATGAATTGGGTGTAAAGCTGGTCAAACTTGCTTATAGCATATTTGTTTTGTATACCAATGAACTGTTCTAAATAAAAGATTTATTAGCAAGTACATAATGAATCTATAGCATACAAAATACATCATTGATCTACCTGGTGTTGACAGATCAGTGAGAATTATGTGTCATTTGTCAATATGGGGAATTTTGAAATATTACTAGATAATCAGCTGTTATTTATGATTTCTGCAAGATATTCTATTGTACACAAATTTGATTACCATTGTATATATTGTGTTGTGAGGATTCAAGCTCTTGAAAATATCCATCAATGGATAGAGAATTTTTTTATTATAAGACTGGACACAAAGACAATGTAAGCTTAGCAAAAACAATTGATTATAATAATATCCTGACCAAACCAGAATTATTTTAAAAATAACAGAGAAGCAAAAGCTATCACCTTAATACTATTCCCAGCTAAGCCCAACCATCTCAAGTTTACCAGCTCCTTAAGCCCTTCAATGGTTAAGATCCCATTATGAGACAGATTTAAAGTATGAAGTGAATGTAGCCTACAAACACCATACATTCGCAGCAGTTGGTTTCGAACTGCTGAGAGCTGCAATAGGCACAGGTCGCATTAAACAACATGAATAAGAAGCCCAGACATATACTGGATGACAGTAATTGGGGATATGATAGAGCAGTTTCCCTACCTTTTGTAGTTTGGTAAATGAATCTATACTGTCTAGCCGTAGTAATTCATTATCATCTAAAATAAGCGTGGTCACTTGGGATTCATGAGGCGTGGGTTTGTTAAGCTTTTTTAATTTCTTATTTGATAAATCCAGTGTTTCTTCTACTGGATCTGCAACAAAGTAACGTAGTATAGAGCGAAAATAGCAGTTCACCTAGTTTGTACCCATTTGAATATATTTTAGGTATTGCACATAATTCTTATACAGTATCTTATCGCTATAGAATCAACCGTTACGTTAAAAACTAGAATAACAACACAAAAACTATTTAACTATAAACAAAAAATCGAATTCCATTCAATAATCGAATTCATAAATTGACAGACACTGACAGCAGAATGACAACCATTCAAATTTCAAATCAGTGCTTTGAAAGATGGTAAGCAGTTTTCTGCAGTACAGTTGGTTACCATGATGAATTATAGATAGCACGACAAACAATAATCAAATTTAAGCGGATAACCAAATGGAGATGGTATTTACCATTTTAGGTTGGTATTTACCAATCCGTTCAAGCGAGTGTAGTTATCAGTTTGGTTATAAGATCCGTGACGTCACGAATCAGCTGTTATATGTCATAGTTATCACCGCAAAATTGTTGTATTTACCCGACTCAAGAGTAGTTTTATATTTCTGGTTATTATTTGAAATGTGACAAGTTAGAATTTTGCCGGGTATTGGATATTGTTATTGTACTTCAGCTTCATTTTTGAGAAAAAGGATACAGGCTGACTTCAGTTTTACCATAAAGTGGAGCACCTTATTAGTTATACTCATTACGGTTGTTAGGGACACTTTAAATGTAGTTCCTATGCTTAACAAAGTATCCTGTGTAGCCATATACCACAAGAATATTAAAATATGGCCATATAAACTCACTAGATGATATCCACCTGTATACGGTTTTGCTAATTTCTTTTTTCATCATTTCTGCTGAATCAATAAATGATTTCTTTAACATGCGGAAAAATTTAGAGAATTGAAAGTTATCATAGCTACAAAGCCATGGTTCCATCATTAAAAAAAAATCTGAAAAAACATTTCTCCCATGAATATTATGAAAGGTTTCTTATTTAAACTTTCCATATACAGTTGTAGACGAAAAAGCACCGATTATTAAGTGATAATAAAAATAATCAGAGATTATATACGCGCTTTTCTAAAATAAACAACTTGCAACAAAACCGCGGTTAAAACCAACGCGTTCAAGCGATTCGTGTAACTGACGTCATCAACCCGTGTGTCATCTTGAACCATATTATAACCGCGGCACATAACACAGAAATTTTGGTTATTCGCTTGGATTTGATTAATAAGTACCTTTTGATTTTGATGCCAATGTGATAACCACAATTCTCCTGCTAAAATTACAACTTTTGTAACAAAATGAAATCTATCGCATATATGTACATTTGAAGTAAACACACAAAATTCCCAAATTTCTGTATTAGTTCAACTATGCTTGGAGAGATGGTAGACTATCCAGTGGTCATCTGTAGAAGATAGCTGTCATCTTGAGTGAGTGAGAAGGGAAACGAAAAAAGACGAGGACAAAACAAATATGGAGTTTATTTGCAGAAGTATGACTTCATTTCTCATCCAGTGAGTTAAAACGTACAAATCAATCGTTTTTCGTGGTTCGCGTTAATGAAACGCGTCAGTGCAATTTTTCGTTGAAGTGCGTGCAAAATTTCGTTTTTCGGCCATTGGAAAAACCATCAGTTGAGAAAAAACAATCCTTAAATTCATCAAGAAATCGAAGTTGATAACTTCGATCTATCAGCTGTGACTGCAAAGTTCAGCTTTTCAGTTTGTTGATTTTCTCGTTTGTGTGAGTTTTCTTGAAAATACGCCAAACTGGAGCGATTACCCGAATACCTCCGAGATACCGTGGACTGGTTTATTGGGTGAGTTTCTATTTTCCTTTATGACAATTAAAGGTTTATAAAAAAAAAGAAAAAAATCCAGATCAGTACGCTGAAACAGTGCTGGTATGCCTGAATTCTTATTTCTTTTATCAGCTGACATGCTGGACTGGTGAGCTTCCATAGCTTCTATAAAATGTATCTGCTGTTATTTGTCACTAGTCTCAACATTTTGAACTAAAGGGCAAAAAAGAGCAATAAAACCTACATGTCGGCAGATACGATTTTTCCAGTGTAGTACAATGAAATGAATATAGAACTGAACCAAACACTTTGACTATTTATTGTATCTCATCAAAAATGAATCCTTGGAGTTATATCAGTACCTAATGCTGAAATATTTTCCTGAAAGGAATTAATAGGTAGGTTATCCTCATTGCCTCAGTAACCTTAGAGAGCAAGCTGTTTTGATAATTAATAATTACAACCTTGATCCCCTGTGGAAAATCAATAAACTACACTGTTTTTGCCTGTTTTCCCAGCAGGGAATATTAGAACTCATTTGCACTTCCAATAAACTGGTTGATTAAAAGCTGGTAGATTAAATTAAAATCTTCCACAGACTTTGTATTTCAAATATACCTGTTTGTCACATACCATTTTTTTCTAAATATCTGTGTGTTATGTAATTGTTTAGTTTTTTTAGAAGAATGTAATTGTAGCAATCATGTTAAATAAATCTTAAACAAACAAACAAAATTTTAATGATAACTATTTCATGCTTAGAAATCATTCAGAAATGTATGGTATAAGAAATGCTACAAGGTTCTTTGTTGATTACCTGCTGTTATTCAAAACATACAACAAAATGCAAATCTGTATACATCAAACATTTATAGCAGTTCAAGGCTCCAACCCAGAAATGTGTTGAATCCAATTTTCAACTAAATCAGTTATCATCCTATTTATGCACCATTTGAATTTCTGTTTAAGCTAATAGCTGCTGTCTTATAGCTTAGGTAAATACTCTTACAGTATGCCATACTTAAATGTCTCCTTCCTCCCTTCCCCTTATTTCCTTCCCATTTTTCTTTTCCCCTTTCTTCTACTTCGTTCCTCACCTTCTATCCCTCTCTGTCTCTGCCAGCTTTCCCAACTTTCTGTTCCCTTCTTTCTCTTCATTCCTTCCCAGCCATCTTTGTTTCTCCTTCATCCCCCGATTCATTCCCTATCTACCTGTCCTTGCTTTTTTCCCACCCTCGTTCATTTCACACCTCCTCACCCTCCTTTCTCAATCTTCTTTCCCCTGAATCCTTTCCTCCCCTTATCCTTACCATTTATCCTTCTAATCCTCCCATATAATCCTTCCTTCCCCTCTTCCTTCACCCTTCTTTTCTTCAATTCTCCTTGTAACACATAGCCAAAGGTCCTCCATACCATATATTACTTATTGTTGGATATGATTCAATACATCTATCTTTATCCATCCATCTTCTGAACTAGAATCTAGTCCAAAAATGTGAATCATGGATCATATAATTCCATTAAAAATACATGGGTGATTATAGCCTCTAAGATCCCATGCTGCTAATTCACTATTCTGGACTATCTAGATAATTTCCTTATATATACAACATATATTTTTGCTCATCAGTATATTCATTGGGCTTAAAAAAGTGTTGCATTTAATTAACATTCAAATACAAGGAAATCTTTCTTTGAGTGCTGTTTTTCCATCAGGTTAATGGTATCAAAGTATTAAGACAGTATTAGTATAATCAATCGAGTATAATCCAATTTAAAGTATTCACCAGATTTAACTCCATTGTTTCAACTGCAGTGTTTTTATTTTCGATTACATTTATGGTACTATAGATACATTGCTATACTGATTTCATGTTTGATTACACTTTTAATTTGGTAAATGCAATTATACAATTATACAGCAATTACGAAATTAACCTCCCAAAGACCAATTTATCCATCTAGAAAATTAGAACAGTTTTCTCAATCTAGACAAGGAACAGTGTGTACATGGCAACAATGCTAATTTTTCAAAGCAAACACTACTGGTGATGTGGTGTTATTTATATTAATTTCCAATATTTGTGGTATAATATAATATATATATATATATATATATATATATATATATATATATATATATATATATATATATAAAGCAAATGTTTTATTATTTGTTATTCAAAGAAAGATTGTGTAATCTACTGAGATCTAGAAACCCACTTCTATTTTTTACAGAGTTGTTCTGTCAACAATCATTAATTTTCTAGTGATTATAAAGCATGTATTATACTGGAGCTATTATTTTGATTTTTGTTAGATGCTGAAAACAATTTATTATTGATTGCCATATATACTTGAATCATAATAGCATTTTTAAATAGACTTTTGAATGAAATCGTTTTACAAATATACTGGTGTTTGGATGAAATATAACTTATTTTACTCATTTTCCAGTTATAGTGGCAATACAGACGATTTATCAATTATAACAAAAAACATTAAAAAGTGTATAGATATCAAATTTGTAAGTTTTTGGAGCATCCTGCAGCAAGGGGGATTAAGAGAAGAATTATTTGCACTACAAATATAAGTTGTATTTTCCTGTACATGTAATCAGCTGGGGGCCCAGGGCAGAGCAACATCCAGGACCATATTTTGCCATTGGTGCTCAGACATTTTGATTTGGGCCATATGGTTAAGATGGATTAGATTAAAGAATTTTTTGGTTGGGGAGATCTGCTCTCAAGAGTTGAAGAGCTAAAGGGCAACTATATTTTCTGTATTGTTGAACTATACTTTACACTATTCTGAATGTCAAGTGTTGAATCTTCCTTTGAATATTGACAAGGGACTACTGACCTTTCCTTTGCATATAGGCCTTCACCTACACCAGATACTTTTGAAGAGCTATTTATGGAAATATTGATTGTGATGCTTTGTGAGCATTTTCTTTGAAAGAGGATATGGGACATTTTCATAATGTTCCTTGGAGAGAGCTAAATTCAAATGCAATACTCCTCTGCTGAAATATCAAAATAAAGACGCGTCTGTTGGCGTTTCTGTGTACGCGTGTCCTCAGTAACTGCTGAGCTGATATTGATTAAATTTCAGAAGGTTTTCTGTGCTATAGTTCTGACTACCTGTTTATTTGGATGGAAAAAAATTGTTTTTCTTTTTTTTGTATTTCAAATAATTTGTTTTTTCAGCAAAGCTAGACGTAAAGAAAAAGAAGGTGGCGAATCATCGACTAGCACCGATTCAAAATTATATTTGGAAGCTACAGTTCTAGAACGAAAATTACCAGAAATGGACATGAGGTTATTGGTAGACCTCCCACCTGGTTTAGACTATAATGAGTGGCTAGCATCACATAGTAAGTTATATTTCCGTAATATAAAAAATCTGTATGTAAAATAAATTACTTGGAAAAGAAGTCGTTGAAAAAATTTGCATTTTGCTAAAAGAATTCTATATAAGATAATTTCACTAGAACTTCTTTCATACAGTATTATCACCACTGATAAAGACCTATGTACTCTGGGATTTTGTTTAAAATAAGACCAACAATTTTGGAAAATATATTTTATATGATCAGATATTTGATAAACAATAAATTATTTTTCAGCAATGGCCCTATTTGACCACGTGAACTTGGTATATGGTACAGTTAGTGAATTTTGCACCCCATCTGGTTGCCCAGATATGACGGGGCCGGGTCAGAGGTTAGTATACTTGTAGTATCTATTGTTTGTATGTCAATGTTTTTAAATATTAATCAGATAACTGCTTATTTGTATGCCTAGACTGATAATAATATTAATGACATTCAAATGGACACTTCCTATGTAAAGCATCATTTTTTATAATCCAGAAGTGTCTGGTTTTTTCAGCTTGAATTTGTGAAAATTGATGTTATCTAACAGATTTATATTGTTTGTTACAATAGTTTGTTTTTTCTCATGATGCAATTAGTATACTTGAGTTTATTACCTTATTTTATTGCCCCATACATAGTTTTCATAATAATTTTTATTACAAATTGCATAATCTGATTAAATGGTCATAAGCTCAAGTCAAACAGGATCATAGGAATAACTGTGAAACTGGATCACAGACATGTAAAGGATTTTTGAAAATTTGCAAATGATATGGTTTGTGTTGGTATAGGCCTTTCCCCACTTCTGAGGGGATTACTGCAATCCTAATTGGCAACATGGCAAGGATGATGGAAATTGTATGTCCAATACATTATTGCTCGTGTCCAAAGTTTCCAGTTTCCTCTGTGGGTATACGCAAACGAAATTATGCGCTCTTAGGTATTTTGGGGTGTAACAATAAAAAATTGTAAAGGGTCATGGAGCCCAGTTCAATCGGATTTGGAATCTACGCACCCGATTTACTCGGAAAACGAGTTTTACCTAGACAAAAATGACCTTGGAAAACAAAAATAAAAGATTGTTTCATTTCTGTTTTTTTTTGTATTAAATTAAAAATTTTTTTTCCAGAACATATTTATGGTTTGATGAGAAGGGCAAAAAGACGAAAGTTGCAGCCCCTCAGTATATAGACTATGTGATGACGTTTATTCAGAAAACTATTAGTGATGAAACTATTTTTCCTACAAAATATGGTAATTTTTTTCATTTTATTTATTGCCTCTGTAATGGAAAATGCAACTGACATATGATTATGTAAGATGTCAAAATAGTAATTTTAATGGTGCTTGTCAGATCTAGATCTATTTTAGTGGGTTTAAAGATTTTATTCCTTATCTACTGAACATCTCAAACACATCTAATTTTAAGACACTCTCTCACCCACTAGGCTTCATTCTAGCGCTCCAAGCGGTTATTGCGTATTGCTGATACATACGATTATTTTTTCAGCAAATGAATTTCCCTTATCGTTCGAGTCAATAGTGAGAAAGATCGTTAGACTGTTGTTCCACGTGATAGCGCATCTGTACGCTGCGCATTTCAAAGAGGTGATGATGCTGGGTCTCCACGCTCACCTCAATCTCACCTTTGCCCATCTCACAGCGTTGCAGCATAGGTTTTCCTTGATAGAAGCTAAGGTAGGTTATCTGAATAGTTAGAAGAATATTTTTTTATTGCCAAAATTTGGCCCATAACCTATTAACTCTTTAGACTATCATGGAGTATTCGCCACCTAAACAAAATTGCATCTTCAATGATAGAAAAATGTCTTGTATGATCTTCATTACACACGTTAAAAGGTATTACATGACAGCTTTGGAAATTTTATGATTGAATAATTTTTGTCTATACTTTTTGGATTCAAAACATTGATATTCTGAAATAAGATTTTGGAAAATGCTTCATGGCATTTACAGGAAACGGAAATACTGCGAGACCTGGAAGTGGCGTTACATTTGACAGAAGACAGCCAAGAGCTGGCGAACAATAATGAAAAAATGGATGACGCGGCGGCGTCGTCGTCGTCGTCAGAAAGCCATTTGAAGACGCAGGTTACGGAAGCTAGCTGTAAGTAATTTTTTACATTTACATTGAATTATCGTGAGCATTGTCAAAAGTGTTCTGAGTTATGAACATTTCGCCTCTGTGCCGCTGGGATCCCGTAAAGATCTCTGTAACCAGTGGCACAGTTCCCAGTAGCGGGTACACATTTTCATCATGAGTAATCTTGGTTTTTGTGGCATATTTATAAGAGGAACAAAATGAAAACGGACCTTCTAGTCTGATCGTCACTAGGGATGCACCGAGTGCGACTTTTTTAAAAAGGCTAGCCGGTACTCGGCCAGATCCGAATACCGAGTACTCAGTGAAGTGAGTAGCGCAGGTTTATTTTAATTGCCATAAGAACTAGTGATGTTGTATTTAAATTAAAAATTCAGAGGTCTACCTTCTCAAAATTGATTTACTTTTAACTACTCACTTATATCCGTTTTTTCATCAACAATTTCTTCAGATGGATTTCTTTGAGGTCTCACTGATCATTTTTTACGGTGTTTACATCAATGGACAAATTCTTGGATTAGCTGTCAGTACTCAGTGCTGCCAACTACACAAAAAATTCTTGCTAGAAACATTTTGAGCTTTTATGTCTATTGTGGTTTTGATTTTGAGGTGAATCTCATAAACAAATCATATTTCTGAATCCTGTAGTTCTATCAAAGTTCTATACTTGAATTGAAAAGTTTTTCAATACAGGGTGTCCTCAAAGTTGGGGTTTTCCTTTTCAGAAACAACTACCCTTGAAATAACAAAGGTAATGTGTAGTGAAACGAGGGCGACCAAGTAAAAAAAAAATAAAGGAAAAAGTACTCACTCTCCAGTTGACGAGAAGGGCTAAGTACGTCTCTGCCCGAAATAATACCGCTCCAACAGAAAATGAAATCAGCTGATGCGCTACCGAGCAGACGCAGAAACCACATTGATTGTCTTACACTTAATGGCACATCTTCTAACAAGGAAGGCAAAATGTTGCGTAAAAAGTCTAGGTATTGCATCCCGTCCAATCGATTTGGGAGAATAAATGGTCCAATGAGCATACCGTTCACCATGCCAGCCCAAACATTCACCGAAAATGTTTGTTGAAAATGTGCCCGACGGACAGCGTGCGGATTTTCTACTGACCAAACATGAGTGTTGCGAAAGTTATTCACCCCATTACGCGTGAACGTAGATTCGTCTGTCACCAATATGCACTTCAAAAAGTCCGGATTATTGTCATGTTGATGCCACTCACAAAACCGCACTCTTGCTGGAAAATCGTCAGGTTGAAGGGCTTGTACACGTTGGACGTGAAACGGATACTGCCCCTCTTCACGCAGCGTTTGCCACACTTTAGTTTTTGATACTTGCACTTCTCTAGCCACGTCTCTAGTGCTTGTTGAGGGATTCTCGTCTACGCGATTACCTCTACACGCGTGACCGTAACCGTCGGTTGAAGGTTGCATACTGACGTGACACACTGACCCCGACCCAGTTCTGTCGTCGGGTTGAGCCAGTGACCTTGTAACAGTCGGTGATGTCGCGGCTACAGGACGGTATTCAGATATTTTTGATGTTGCAGAGCCCTTTATCTCGGTTCCCTTAAGACATTGGTGTATATGGTACTAAGAAAAATTGCTTATGTTTTCAAGATCTACACGTCGTGTAAAGGAAAACTCCAACTTTGCGGACACCCTGTATAATGGAAAGGAAAACAAGGTTGACATCCTGGAACGCCCAGGTTGGCAAACATTAGAACAAGTTCTAATTTTGTGAAAAAATCCAATTTAGTGGCTGGAATATTGATTTAAAATTAACCATAGTTTAATATTACATTATTACAGACTTGTGATACTCTCCTATCTTTCCTATTCCAAAAAAGAACATTTTTAAGACAATATTAACACGGTATGTAGGTAGTGTGTAATTTTACACTTGTAGAACCAAACTTTTTGTGTAAAAGCTAGTCATTTGAAACCGACATTTTTGTTGAAGAAATACCTATTAAAATGTTGTCATACTATAGCCATCATGAAAATTGCTTGATGTCATGACAGGACTAATTCAGATTTGGAAAGAACTAAACCTAAACTATCATCCCTGATTCTCAGTGGCGGCTCGTGGTATTTGAGTTTGGGGGGCGCAAAATCTAATTCAAAAAATGTTATGCCTCTGTATTAAACAATTCGGCTGCCTGTAAATGACCTCGAAAGAAAAATCTATCTTTTACTTGCATTGTTATTATGTTGCACACTTCTTTGGCAATGACCCCTCGTATACTGTCGTCAGTTCTTCTTCTTTTATTAGATTCAAACTTTGTTTCGGTATATTTTTTAATATCATCAATTTGACCTCTTATATTGTCGGTACTCTTTTCAAAAATTACTAAGTCCTTTTGTAATTGAACACTATCTTGATTTCTTGACTGCAGCTGGTTATAAAGGATGTCAACATGCGGAAATATTTTATGGAATACTGTCAACCCAAACAAGAATTCTTGATCTTCTAACGCTCTTCTCAAACTTGAAGCTTCATTTAAAGTAACACCTCTATTACATCTCTCTTCTATTTCTTCAAACACCTCTATGAGTTTCTCACGATGTTCATAGACAAAGTAAACTGTACGAATGTTATAGTTCCATCTAGTAGCAGCTACTGTGGGGATTTTCTTATTTATAATTTCTTCTAAAACATCACATCGATGGGTAGAGTTCGAAAAAAAAGCTGGTATGGCCGACAAATTATTAAAAAACACACGTACTTTTGAATTTTGTGATGCACTTTTTTGCATAATAAGGTTTAGCTGATGGACATAACAATGTATGAAATGTGCATTAGGATATTTTTCTTTAATGTCAACTTGAACCCCACCGACAGAACCACTCATGACATTCGCACCATCATATGTTTGTGCTATCAACTTTTCAGGACTTTGTAAAAGAAACGGATCAATTTCAGTTTTCTATGCAAGTTTTTAAACCTACTGATGTCTTATCTTTAACTCTCAAAAAACTCCAAAAAAGTTCTTGTATGCCGCCTTCGTGGAAATATCTGAATATTAAAACCATTTGGCACTGATTTGATATGTCGGTCGTTTCATCGCATTGAACTGACAGGAAATTTGCGTTTTTAATTTGCTGCAAAATTTCTTCTCTACAAACTTGTAGCATGCTATCTAATATGTCATTTTGAATGCTTTTAGAAGTTCCCTTGAATACCGTGGCATTTTTTAAATGATTTTTAAGGGCCTCATCTAACTCAGCGGTAAAATCAACTAATTCTCTAAATATTCCTCGATTCAAAGACTCTTCAGTCTCATTGTGACCTCTAAGTGCCAATTCAAAGGCACTGCAAAATTTGACACAGCTTATAATCCGTTTCAAAATGAGCCGATTTTTTCTCACTTTTTCGTTATGTTCAACTATACTTTGTCTATAAGCAGAACTTATTTGTGATGCTATATTTGTCTTATCAAGAACTGCAAGCGCCGTGCACGAATTAATGTGTCTTCGGGAAGCCTAATGCTTTCTAATCTTTTCAGGAAGATGATGCAGGTCTTTGATTCCCGTCCTTGACCAACTAGAGTCCATACCTGACGCGGCATTATAAAATAATAAACAGGGGAAACAGTACAATAAATTTGTCTCCTCACATCCACATATCCAATTATTTTTTTTATATGTATCTTTAGAAAAATGACAGGTAAAACTTCTTTTTTCTGCCTTCCGTTCACTCACTTGCGTTAACTTTAAATCCGGCAAAGGTCTGCCCAATTGCTTAATTTCTAATTTATTCTGAAGGGACGCGTCTGTAAAATCATTTTTTAAAATGTTACTGACACTATTCATTATCATTTGCTACTTTATTCTGCAATAAAACAAAACCCGACACTAAAAATGCAGCGCGTAATCAATATTCAATAGTAAACAACAAATGGAGCTAGCTATGCGAGACGCAGCGAGGCCGCAAAAATAATGCGCCCTAGCATAGCTATTAATACTGTACCTCGACTCTAACCGAGTCGTATCGAAAGCGCTCGAAAACACCGACGTGCGGCCGCGAGGTTCGATGCGGCCCGTATAGTCCGGGCAAATAAGGATAAAATCGACTGATTTCTTACAAAATAATTAGGGCGACGTTTAATATATAGTATGTTCAATAAAATGTTAGCTAATTAGAAAAAAAAATAAAAATGGTTTTATTCAATGCTTTTTTAACGGCATTTTATCTGGGGGGGCGCGCGGCCATGCGGCCTTATGGTAGAGCCGCCACTGCTGATTCTGGCAAAAATACGCTGTAGCCTTGGCTATTTTTTGATGGTGCGTTAATTTTTTGGGAAATATTTCAGGAGGGTGGGATAAAAGGCGTATATGTATGCTGAGAGTTTACACATTTGTGCGTCCTGCGTTGAGACCTGCTGCGAAACCAGGTACTCGGTGCATCCCTAATATCGTCACTCATTATTTTAACAAAGTGATGTCATGCTATTACAAAAAAGTCAGCAGTTCAAGCTACAATGTAATCTATGCCAATGAAACTGCTTGGTTACCGCTCGACGGCTGATTCAGAACAACTTTATATTCCTACCTTTGGAAGTCGCTAAGTGTTTGTCAATGTGAGGTTTTTCCTGTTGTTGATTTTAACACAAAGAGGCGATTTTTCCGGAAGAAATCTTTAATTTTTGATACATTAAAATTTTTCTAAATCTTCTATGATGGAGGTCACCTCAGTGCAGGCGTCAGTGAGATCGGTTAAATATTTCTGTGTTTCTTGCAGGTGGTGACAATAAATGAATTAGATAGATGGCGGGAGCCAAAAATGACAATTTTTCTAAAGTGGCGTTCTTCTTTGCAGCCTCGAAAACCTCTTAAAAGGAATAAAAAAACACCTACTAGATTTTTACTAGCGCGCATGTGATTCTCAAGACACAATAGTGACTTTATTTTTTTAGTGCTACTATTTTATTTATTGTTTTTAAACTTTTTATTTTTGTTGTCGACTTTTAAAATAAAAAGTGGTTACACAGATTTCTTAGAAGTTTCCTAGATTAACACTGTACTTATGCAGGGTGTGATAGTCCTTTACGGTTGAAATCAGCTCAGTACTTTTTTCTGAATCAGACCTATTCAAAGCACCTTATGCATCATTTTAGGGTCGCATGACAACGATATAAAATTGACAAGAAACATTCGTATTGTTTGACATTTATAGATGATTCACAAGTTTAATTTTGGTCTTCCATTGCCTATACGATTTTTGAGATCAAGTCGTTTACTTATACTCGAGTAGGTGACGTGTAACTTAAAAGGTAACATTGTCGATTTTTTTGACATGTATATGTATGCTGAGAGTTTACACATTTGTGCGTCCTGCGTTGAGACCTGCTGCGAAACCAGGTACTCGGTGCATCCCTAATATCGTCACTCATTATTTTAACAAAGTGATGTCATGCTATTACAAAAAAGTCAGCAGTTCAAGCTACAATGTAATCTATGCCAATGAAACTGCTTGGTTACCGCTCGACGGCTGATTCAGAACAACTTTATATTCCTACCTTTGGAAGTCGCTAAGTGTTTGTCAATGTGAGGTTTTTCCTGTTGTTGATTTTAACACAAAGAGGCGATTTTTCCGGAAGAAATCTTTAATTTTTGATACATTAAAATTTTTCTAAATCTTCTATGATGGAGGTCACCTCAGTGCAGGCGTCAGTGAGATCGGTTAAATATTTCTGTGTTTCTTGCAGGTGGTGACAATAAATGAATTAGATAGATGGCGGGAGCCAAAAATGACAATTTTTCTAAAGTGGCGTTCTTCTTTGCAGCCTCGAAAACCTCTTAAAAGGAATAAAAAAACACCTACTAGATTTTTACTAGCGCGCATGTGATTCTCAAGACACAATAGTGACTTTATTTTTTTAGTGCTACTATTTTATTTATTGTTTTTAAACTTTTTATTTTTGTTGTCGACTTTTAAAATAAAAAGTGGTTACACAGATTTCTTAGAAGTTTCCTAGATTAACACTGTACTTATGCAGGGTGTGATAGTCCTTTACGGTTGAAATCAGCTCAGTACTTTTTTCTGAATCAGACCTATTCAAAGCACCTTATGCATCATTTTAGGGTCGCATGACAACGATATAAAATTGACAAGAAACATTCGTATTGTTTGACATTTATAGATGATTCACAAGTTTAATTTTGGTCTTCCATTGCCTATACGATTTTTGAGATCAAGTCGTTTACTTATACTCGAGTAGGTGACGTGTAACTTAAAAGGTAACATTGTCGATTTTTTTGACATTATGTGCGTTTTTTGAAATGTAGCTTTTCCTTAAAAATATCACCTTATTTGAACTAGCTGACATTTACTTTAGGTTCACTTGCAGTAGCCGTGGAATCAACTAGCGGCTACCTAGTGGACAAGTTGACATTTTACCGATTTTTTTTTGAACATCATAAGTTACAGGTAGCTGCATCATTTCTAATTTCGTTTTATAATACTCTTGTTGTAAAATACTTGTTTGGTACTGGTGTAATAGCAGTAGACGTTGCTAGTTCTTTTGTAGTTAACCCTTTAGTTTCTTCAGTTTCGTATTTCTCTGTTGCTAATTTTCTTTTTGGTGGCAATGTCTTCTGAATTGCTGGTGCTGTAATACTAACTGTTTGCTCACTGCGCTCGGTATATCGTTCACTTCCTTCTTCTTGAACACTACCAACCTGAATGGCACCTCTAATTTTCACAATTGTAGGATTACAGTCACCTTCCATAGCTTTCAGCAACTTTCTTTCCCAATCTGACAATTTAATTGCTTTATTACCAGTTTTTTAGATGTTTTTTCTTCAATCTTGATTTCATGTTGTTGATTCTTTTTAATAAGCCTTTAGTATCTAATGGTTTACAGAATGTTGATTCCTATTTTTTTAACATCTTCTTCAACGCATCGTCCTTTCTCATTTTTATTTTTGGAACTTGTGACTTTTGCAAAATAATGGGAGCAATGGCAATTTCATCTGCGATAAACCTCAGGTCGTTGCCATTATTTTCTATAGTTCTCTGTGTAAGCTCTGGAGCACAAATGTCAGTGATGCTGAGTGAACGAACTCCCACGTCAACTACAAGCTGGAACAAGTCAGGACATGTCGCTCAAGATACAAATACCATTCAACCGTTTACTTCTTCTTGGAGGATATCCTCGCGAGTATACGGTAATCATTATGAATACGAAAACAAGAATACATATGCTTATATTTCTACCTTTTTCTCCGAAGCAAGACCTTATACTTTTACCTTATATTATGCTTCCGAGGATATGTTTCTCTTTTATGAATGCGGCTCATTGTATCTTGAGATGAGGGTATGTCGTGGTTCTCGTAGCACCTCTGTTGTTATGCTTCTTGGATAACCTTTCTTCTCAAGTTCTTCTTTGATGCGACGT